GGCCCCCGGTGGAGAGGTCGGTTGCGATGCAGTAGTGTCCTAATACCACCTCCACCTGGCAAACCATGCCTCCCCTCCCGGGTCTGTAGGTACTTCTCTGGTCTGTCCAGCGATGCTTATGTGGCCTGTGGAGAAGCTGCCTTCGCCTTACACGCTATGGCGTTACTTCAGGTTCTTCAGGCTAAAGCACTGAGGGACCTGCACGAGGGGGGTCACGATCCGGAAGTTCTAAAAGAGCTCCGAACCGCAACTGATCTCACGCTCCGAGCGACGAAGGTCACTGCAAGTTCTCTGGGTCGTGCGATGTCCACACTTGTGGTCCAGGAGTGTTACCTCTGGTTGTGTCTGGTCGACATGAGGGGCGCTGACAAAATTCGGTTCCTCAAGGTCCCTGTGTCCCAGACCGGCCTTTTCGGCGACACAGTCGAGAACATAGCCCAGCAGTACCTCCACCCGTCCGCCGGCCGCAGCGCCCCAGCCTGCTCGTCGCCGAGGGTGGCCCCCTGCATCCACCCCCGCTCCCGTGCCACATCCGCAGCAGCCTCAAGCAAGCGGCACCTTGGAGCTGGGTGTAAGCAGGCTCACCGAGAAGACCCCCGGAAATGTCCGATCAGAGTCGTGCTGTCCTTTCTGCAGCAGGGGTTGGAGCGAAGGCTGTCTGCCTCCACCCTTGAAGTCTATGTGGCTGCGATTGCTGCCAACCACGACCCCCTCTATATCCTCTTAGGACTTGTCTCTAGTGCTCAGAGCACTACAGCAGGGCCCATTTGAGCCTTTGCAAGCTGAAGTTTCTATCAATGAAAACTCTGCTCCTGCTTGCATTGAACTCTATCAAGAGGGTAGGGGACCTGCACGCATTTTCAGTCGACGATTCGTGCCTAGAGTTTGGGCAGGCTGACTCCCAGGTAATCCTAAGGCCCCGGCCCGGCTATGTGCCCAAGGCTCCCAATTCGTGCCTAGAGTTCGGGCCGGCCGACTCCCAGGTAACTCTGAGGGCCCGGCTATGTGCCCAAGGTTCCCACTACTCCCTTCAGAGATCAGGTGGTGAGCCTGCAAGCGCTGCCCCTGGAGGAGGCAGACCCAGCCCTAGCTTTGCTTTGTCCCGTCCGAGCATTGATATACTACGTAGACAGGACGTAAAGCTTCAGGACCTCAGACCAGCATTCAGGTTGCAAACTCACTCTACTAGAAGTGTTACATCCTCCTGGGCGTTGGCTCGTGGCTCCTTGCTGGCAGATATTTGTAGAATTGCGGGCTGGGCGACCCCATCAACACGTTCGCTAGATTTTATAGCCTTCATGTGGGGCTGGTATCCTCCTGTGTTCTCACCTCAAACGGGTAGAAGCACTGAGAGGCCCCGGCTTCGGGTCGGCTTGCTAAAACCGCTCCAGAGAGTCCATATCGTAGACCCTGTCGAGCTCTTCCATCCCCACGGCAGCCAGACGAGGCGAAGCGTCTGGCGCCAGGCCCTCACTCGATGAATCCGTGAGAACCGGTAGAGGGCTGGGTTCCATATGTAGAGACCTAAGTGGATCCCATATGTGTAAGGTGCACGGTATAGCCTCAGAGCTCGTGTTTCCCCTGGCAGACTTCCTGCTATTTTCCAAGAAGGTTACAATCACCTCTAATCTTCCATATGCTCCTAGACGGTTGTTCATATATGTAAGTGCTTCTGAAACCTTCCACAACGTTCCGGTTCCAAGTGGAACGGGTACGTTTTCCCACTGTTATCCAGTCTTACTGAGTGGGTTGTGCTATAGCAGCAGTAACTGGTCTTCTTGTGGTAAGCCCCAGCCTACGCCAAAATAGAAGGGGTGCAGGAGGCTTACACAGGACACTGGAAGGGGCACTTTGGTAGGGATCCCAATTTGTCGTTCATCCGACGTGACATAGAGAGTGACCGAATGAAAGGGAATGTCTCGGTTACGTATGTAACCCTCATTCCCTGAAAGAGGGAACAGAGACATCACATCCCGTCACCACGGTTGCTGTTCCACCGCTGAACGGCCAGGTCACCGGCTCGGCTCCTCAGCGAAAACCTGAATATGCGCTGCACCTGCTGCCTACTTATACTCACGCTGTGATCAGCGGCAGCTGGATGCAATAATCGAATGCCAATGTGCATTGGCTCGTTTAATTTACACTCAAAGTGGATTGGTCTCTCTAAACGAGATCCCAATTCGTCGGTCATCCGACATGACGTCTCCGTTCCCTCCTTCAGGAAACGAGGGTTACATACGTAACCGAGACGTTTTAGTCATTGTACAAATAAGTACAAGCTAGAAAGAGAAGGAATAAATAAAGTTTTTTTTTTTTTAGGATTAAGTCGAGTAGCGTCGAAAGAGATGAGTTTTCAGCTGTCGCTTGAACATGGTCAGGGATTCAACATTCCAGATAGGAGTGGGAAGAACATTTCACCAGCCAGGAATGGTGAATGAGAATGTTCTGGAAAGTGATTTTGAGCCTCTCTGTGATGGTACCATGAGGCGTCGCTCACTAGCGGATCTCAGACTTCTGAAGGGGATGTAGATTCGTAGTTTTTTTCACCAGCCAGGAATGGTATACGAGAATGTTCTGGAAAGTGATTTTGAGCCTCTCTGTTGAGGCGTCGCTCACTAGTGGATCTCTGGAGGGAACTTCTGGAGGAGATTCATAATAGTGAGTGGAAGTAGGCAGGTGCTGAGCCTGTGTGTTCAAGTTCAGTGTCTTGAACTTGATGTGAGCTGCAACCGGTAGCCAGTGCAAGGAGATAAAAGAGATAAAGATATCTGTGTTCAGTTATGTGTGTATGCATGCATCTATGAAAGCATCGTAACCTACTGCATACAGTTTTAGTTTAGCTACAAGCTAGACCCAAACCCAAGAATATTTAGAGACCTGTTGGACTCAGATCGGGTAGCAGACCTCTATGTCGGCGGCAGTTTGCCCAATTTAACATATTGAATCAGCGTCAGGGCCGTCGGCGAGAGTGAGAACTCTGATTGGATGTTCAGTTTAGCGAACTAGTCCGTGCCCGAGAATGCGTCGAAAGAGATGAGTTTTCAGCTGTCGCTTGAACATGGTCAGGGATTCAACATTCCAGATAGGAGTGGGAAGAACATTTCACCAGCCAGGAATGGTGAATGAGAATGTTCTGGAAAGTGATTTTGAGCCTCTCTGTGATGGTACCATGAGGCGTCGCTCACTAGTGGATCTCTGGAGGGAACTTCTGGAGGAGATTCATAATAGTGAGTGGAAGTAGGCAGGTGCTGAGCCTGTGTGTTCAAGTTCAGTGTCTTGAACTTGATGTGAGCTGCAACCGGTAGCCAGTGCAAGGAGATAAAAGAGATAAAGATATCTGTGTTCAGTTATGTGTGTATGCGTGCATCTATGAAAACATCGTAGCCTACTGCACACAGTTTTAGTGTAGCTACAAGCCAGACCCAAACCCAAGAGTATTTAGAGACCTGTTGGACTCAGATCGGGTAGCAGACCTCTATGTCGGTGGCAGTTTGCCCAATTTAGCATATTGAATCGGCGTCAGGGCCGTCGGCGAGAGTGAGAACTCTGATTGGAAGTTCAGTTTAGCGACTGAGTCCGTGCCCGAGAATTCAAGTGTAAGTGATGAAAACGAGTAAATGAAGGCGGCACAGACTGAGGGCTGTTCTAATGTTATGTGATCTTACCCAAGTATGTGAATATATTCATAACAACATGAGCGGCTAAAAATTAATAAAGTTATCAACATAACTGATATTCAAAATGGTAAGCAAGCGCTGCTTTGTTTACGTTTTGTATATCTTGTATATTCTTGTTTCGGTTTCTCCTTTTTGAATGGCTAATACATACTATTGATAGCTGCTGATAGACAGCTAATTGTTCTCGCACAGAATGCACGTGTTAGTTTGCAGTTGGCTGTGGTCTGTATGGTGTGTTCAATCGCAGCATTTTGGTCCAGATGCTGCCGACGCAAGGAGACAACATCGTCGGCTTTTGTAGCCGCTAGTTCTTTGAAGTGTCCCGGCCTTAAATGCTTTCATGTTGCTTTTCATATCTTTTGCTTTGTGGCTTTAAACTGTGGTTAACTTGTATTTATCTTTTTTTGCTTTAGACCTGCTGGTGCTGAAAGAGGAGAATCGAGATCCAAATGAAATGGAACAGACAGATCAGTGTGAGAAACACCATGATTTCATAACTGGTAAAAATGCCACCCAGACTAAAACGGCTTCTATACGAAAAAGAGCTCAGAAAACCAAATCTAACAGCTCCTTCACCTGCCATCATTGTGGGAGGAGTTTCGATGAAAAACGAAGACTTCAAATGCACGTGAGAGCTCACACTGGAAAGAGGCCATTTCCCTGCCAACAGTGTGGAAAGAGCTTTGCTCAACAAGGAACCTTTAAAAGGCACATGAGAATTCACTCGGGAGAGAAGCCTTCACTCAAAAAGCAAACCTTCAAAATCACATGAGAACTCACTCGGGAGAGAAGCCATTCACCTGCCAACAGTGTGGAAAGAGTTTCACTCAAAAAGCAAACCTTCAAAATCACATGAGAACTCACACTGGAGAGAAGCCTTTCACCTGCCAACAGTGTGGAAAGAGCTTTGCTCAACAAGGAGCCCTTAAAAGGCACATGAGAATTCACTCGGGAGAGAAGCCATTCACCTGCCAACAGTGTGGAAAGAGTTTCACTCAAAAAGCACACCTTCAAAAACACATGAGAACTCACTCTGCAGAGAAACCTTACACTTGCCATCAGTGTGGAAAGAGTTTTACACAGAAAAGCAGCCTTCAATTTCACATGAACATTCACACTGGAGCGAAGCCTTATACATGCGAACAGTGTGGAAAGAGTTTCACTCAAAAAGCACACCTTCAAAAACACATGAGAACTCACTCTGCAGAGAAACCTTACACTTGCCATCAGTGTGGAAAGAGTTTTACACAGAAAAGCAGCCTTCAATTTCACATGAACATTCACACTGGAGCGAAGCCTTATACATGCGAACAGTGTGGAAAGAGTTTCCCTGCAAAACAAAACCTTAAAGTCCACATGAGAGTTCACAATGGAGAGAAGCCTTACTCTTGCAAGTATTGTGGGAAGAGTTTCGCAAATGCGTACTCCTGTAATTACCACATGAGAATTCACACTGTTTATTCAACATTCAACAGTAAGTAAAGAAATACATGCAAAGAAACATTCATGAAGGCTCACGGCCAGTTCAGCACACAAGACAAAAGTAAAAAACACCAGTTATGAAAGTTTATGAACAACAGGTGCAACGGTCACATAAATTCCGCCAAGTTTTTTAATGGTTGTAATGAAAATTTGACAATTCTTCCACCGTGCAGTTTCGCTAGTAAACTGTAAGTAGTTTTCCTAATTGCTTTATCTCAGTAATTGCTCACTACCAGTTTATGTGTGCATGCCATTTGCCATGTGACAGATCGCTAGATCAGTTACAAGAGCAAAACAAGTTTAATTTTAAATAGAGCTTGTAATATATAATAAGAAACGGCATGCACACATTAAATGTAAGGGATAATCCACATGAGAACTCACTCGGGAGAGAAGCCATTCATCTGCCAACAGTGTGGAAAGAGTTTCACTCAAAAAGCACATCTTCAGAATCACATGAGAACTCACTCGGGAGAGAAGCAATTTACCTGCCAACAGTGTGGAAAGAGTTTCACTCAAAAAGCACACCTTCAAAAACACATGAGAACTCACTCTGCAGAGAAACCTTCAGCCTTCATTCCCACATGAACATTCACACTAGAGCAAAACCTTATACATGCGAACAGTGTGGAAAGAGTTTCCCTGCAAAACAGAACCTTAAAGTCCACATGAGAGTTCACACTGGAGAGAAGCCATACTCTTGCAAGTATTGTGGGAAGAGTTTTGCAAATGCGTACTCCCATAATTACCACATGAGAATTCACACTGTTCATTCAACATTCAACAGTAAGTAAAGAAATACATGCAAAGAAGATTGCCGAATGAGTCTTCATGTGGTAGAGGAATGCTGTAAATGTGCTCAGTGTGGAAAGAGTTTCAGGAATAAAGGTAGCCTCAATGCTCACGTGAGAAAACAACACACTCGAGAGAAGCCTGTGGGAAGAGCATCCCACAAATAGAAAATCTTAAGATTCACATGAAATATGTGTGGAATCATGTGAAGAAACCCACATGAGATTTCACTCGGGAGAACTATTTCATATGCCATCATTATGCAAAGTGTTTCACAGTCAAAGGAAACCTGAAGACACACATAGGAGTTAACACTGGAGAGAGGCCTTTCAAGATCATTCTGCAAATAAAGTGTGACCGTGACGAGGTTTACCAAAAGAAGCAATTTTAAAAATCCCCAGCATATTCACTCTGGAGAAAGGCCCATTAACTGTGATCAATGTAATACATTTCTTTTGACATTACACCCGATAGATGCACCTAAGAAGTCATGAAAATTAGACGGTATTTTTGTGCTTTGTGGAGAAAGCTTAAAACGGCCCTACAATTTAAAATAGCACAAGAAAATAGGCATCTGTTTGAAATTTTGTTGTTTTTAACTTTTTTTATACTCGTCTTGAGGCTTTTTGTTATATTACATTCTGCAAAATGTAACTGATTATAAATAAAATTGCGAACTGCATAGTGATCATTGCATTGAATGCATTGAATCATCTTTAGCAGTGTTGGCCATGTTACTTTAAAGAAGTAATTGGTTATAGTTACTAGTTTCTTCTCACAAATAGTAACTGTTAGTAACTGAGTTACATCATTATAAAAGTAACATGGAGAGACTCTTTCTTCCTGGGCATGAGTTGCACGTTACATAAACATTGTTGCCTTTCATTTCAACGAGGGAAACGTAGTGCTTATACTTCTAGTTTGCGAACGCTACCTTTGAACTCGTTGGACTTGCCATCGCTCTGACTCCTGGTCGTTGGTGTGTGCAACTGTGCATGTGCTTGTGTGTGAACACCTGCACTACTCTGCCTCTGGTTGGCAAACAATGGAAATTTACTCTGCCTAAGCCAATCATCATCAGTTATGTGCCCCCAATAGTGAGAGAATGCACAGGTAAACATGTTTTCAGTCTAGACTTAATTATGGATACTCTTGGATAGGGTTGGGTTTCGTTTGGTTTTTTTAGGACACCGATGCCAAATCGATACTTTTAAAATGGTATATGGTTAATCTGTGTTCATCAGAATGAGCTTTATAGCCAGGTATGTTTACACATACGAGGAATTTGTTTTAGTGACAGAAGCTCCACAGTGCAACAGAATGACAGTCACAAGACAAAACACAGATAATAAAAATAACGTACAAATATACAAAATAGACAATGTACAAAATAGCAAAAACACAATATACAAAATAGACAATTTTGGACGTACAGGTATGTTATGTGCAAATTTGAAATGAAAATAAGTATGTGTGTTGAATAAATGCATGATAGTGTTGTGTGTTCCACATTTTATTGTCAAGTGTTCATAAGATAGATTGCTTGAGGGAAGAAACTGTTCCTGTGTCTGGCCGTTCTGGTGCTCAGAGCTCTGTAGCGTCGACCAGATGGCAACAGTTCAAAAAGGGAGTGTGCTGGATGTGAGGGTCCAGAGTGATTTTGCTAGCCCTTTTGCTCACTCTGGATAAGTACATGGAGAGTGGGGAGGGTTGTGCCAGTGATTCGCTCAGCAGTCCGGACTACCCTCTGTAGTCTTCTGAGGTCAGATTTGGTAGCTAAGCTGAACCAGACAGTTATTGAAGTGCAGAGGATGGATTCAATGATGGCGGAGTAGAACTGTTTCAGCAGCTCCTG